AACAATAGGAAGAAAATGCCAGTTTGTGGCTGATAACATTGAATTGTTCTTCAGCAGATGAGCTTTTTCTGGTTGTCTCCAAGATTTAGGTTTTTCTTGACTCTGTAGCAACACACTGGAGACTTGATGAGAGGTTTTGTTTTGGGTTGGGTTCTTTTTAGCTTCAAGGAGGGAAATCCCCATGAGGAGGTTCACTTGATTATAAACAAAACCAGAAAAGGAGATGATAAAAAGCCAGAAAAAAATCCCTTGTCATGCTGCCCTTGTCTCTGTCAGCAGCATGACAGCTTCCTGCTGGCTGCCCTGAAAAAGCAGCAGCACAGAGGTGCCAACATGGTCACGTTACCCCAGCCTGGTGACCCCTGTGGTGGCCAGGACCAGGCAGAGGCACTTGGATGACTGTGTTCTGAGCTTGTTCCTCCCTGGTGTCCTTCCCTGTGTGCTCCTGTCGGGCTGCACGGGGTTCTACCTTCCAGCAACGATCAAATGCAAATAAAATGAAGCACAGAACTGGGCTTTAGATGTGCCCACCAGCCACGCTGGAGGTGGGGCAATCAGCCAAGGGCAATTAAGCCCCAGGGATAATTAAGTTGTCCATTTTAGGCTGCACAAATGGGAGCTGGGCTGTTTAGCAGTAGCATTGGTTCTGAGGTTCATGTTTAACTGGGTTGGGTTGTGTAGTGTGGTGTTGGAGGCTTTCTGCTTGGAGGCAAACGTTCCTCTCTCCTCTGCTGCTGGCAGGAGCCCTCAGGCCACGTTTGGGGACTTCTGCTTTGTTCTGCTTTGTCATTTGCTGTTGGCAGAGCTCAGTTCCCATCTGGCACGAGGCTACCAAGCCAAATGCTGAACTTGCAGAAGACAATACAGCCTCAGGACTGCTTTTCATTGTAATGGTCTGTGTATTGTGTCTGGCCTAACGAGGGGAAAGCAGCCAACAGCAGCCTTGTCCTTCCCTTCTTCCATCCCAAAATGAAGGGCAGTGAGTGGAAGTGGTTGTCATCAGAGCACACAGAGTGCATTGTGCCTTCCTGAATTGGAAGGAAATGTTTGCAGCTGAACCTGCCTGTTCTTGGAAATCCCAGTTGTCTCCCTTCTCCTTGGCATTTGAAAGATGTGACCAGGAGGCTCAGGGGTGACCCTATGGCTCAGGGGAGACCTGATTGCTCTCTACAACTTTCTGACAGGAGCTTGCAGAGAAGGGGTCAGTCTCTTCTCCCAAGGAACAAGCAATAGGACAAGAGGAAACAGCCTCAGGTTTGCCCCAGGGGAGGTTGAGGTTGGACATTAGGAAAAATCTCTTCCTCCAAAAGCTTTGCCCAGTGCTGTGCCAGGCTGCCCAGGGCAGTGGTGGAGTCCCCACCCCTGGAGGGGTTTCCAAGCTGTGGAGATGTGGGGTGAGGGACATGGGTTAGCAGTGGATTTAAGTTAATGGTTGGGTTTGATGATCTGGAAGGTCTCTTCCAACCAAAGCACTTCTGTGATCCCTGTACAAACCAGAGCAAAGCAGCCAAGCCTGGCTCCTCTCACCCTTCCCTGCACTGACCTGCTCCTTACTCCCCAAAAGTCAATTAAACCAGGGAACAAAACATGTTCCCACCTGAATTAATGCCATGGAAATACAAAGATCTGTTAAAGGTGTTTCTTCAGACACACGTTGCAGCAGTGACAGGAATTAGAGCAGGGTGCTCAGAGTTGTGTCCAGTGTCCCCTGGGATGGTTCCAGGGATGGGGCAGTGACCACCTCTCTGGGCAGCCTGGGCCAGGGGTCACCACCCTCAGTGTCAAACATTTCTTCCTTCTCTCTAGTCTAAATCTCCCTCTTTTAGTTTCAAACCATCCCTTGTCCTGTCCCAACAGGCCCTGACCAAAAGACAGTCCCCAGCTTTCTCCTGTGTGCCAGACTGGCCAGTCACACAGTCAGGGACAAAAGAAGGCAGCTGAGCTGCCCACCCACACCCAAAAAGGACCAGGGGGACACACTGTCACGGGTGGCTGCCCTTGTTTTGAGCAGAGCTGGGAAAACCTTGTGACCCCCCAGGGATGCAGGCAGAGGATGAATTTCTGCAGCTTTTGTGGTGCCTTTCCACAGCACTTGGCACATCTGCTCTGCTCTGTGCTCTGGCTGCTGCAGCAGGAGCTGTGGGCACCTGCACCTTGGCATTTTGGTCCCAGCCTTTAAAGGGCACCTGCCTCAGCACTTCCAAATTCCTGCCTGGCAGCATCTCCGGGCTGGTTTGGGTGGTGTGCTGCAGCCTGCCCGTGGAGCAGCCCCACGGGAGGTGTTGGACTGCCTGGCAGCTCATCAAGCAGGGGGGAATTCTGCATGCCACATATTGACAGCAAACTGCTCACAGCACATTCATAAAGTATCATTGGAATTCATCTCAGAAATGCATCTCAGGCAGTGCTCATCAGCTTACAGATCTACAGGGGGTGAAGCAGCTCGTGTGCATACAGAATTTGTCAGCTGAAGGATTCATTTGATTTTATCTTTTTTAATTTTTTACTTTTTCATTTTTTTTATTGAACAACAGACAATAATTTATTTTTTTTCCCAAGAGTTCCATGGTTGCTGTTAGGATTCATTTTATTTTATCTTTTTTAATTTTTTACTTTATTTTTTTTATTGAACAACAGACAATAATTTATTTTTTTTCCCAAGAGTTCCATGGTTGCTGTTAGCTCTCAAAGTGTTGTAGGTAGCTGCTGGTAACAGGCACTTCTTCATCATTTTCTCTTCCTTTTTTGGCATTTGGAACATCACTGCTGACGTGTGAGAAGGTTTCTACTTTCTACACACAGTGCAAATGGCAAGCAAAGGGTTTATCTTCACCTTGTGACAGGAATATTGAGTCATTAGCAGAAGTCTATGTATTTTTATTAGGCAGGTAATTAGCAGCCAGGTACCACGGGGTTGTTGAGATGACCTAGATCTGATTGCAGCGTTGTACCATCCAGAAACAGACCCAGTTTCTGAGCTACTTAGGTGTGAGATTACACAGTGGAATTGTCCTCTTAAAGTACCTTGGCAGTTACCAGAACTGTGCGTGCCACTGGGAAATTGCTCCTACTAATTACCATCATTAGCTACTTGAATGCAAAATATCTGCAGATGCTGGAGGAGTCAGATATAAAATGGATTCCCTCCCTCCAGGTCAGCTGTGTGGGTCTTTCTAAAGACTAGGGGACCAAGACCAAGCCAGTAATTAGGTGACAGATTTGTCTTTCCTACACGTGCAAACATCCATGTGAGATTTACTTCTAAACATGGAATGTTTAGTTGATATTTTAATTTGTTTTGCTCATAATACTTGGAGAATACTAAAGATATTCCAGCAAAAATACTGAAGAATCCCCCTTTCAACACTTTACCCACGGATTGTTTCAAATGAACTATCCCCTAAAGGAATTCTATTGCATGAGGCATGACAGGGATCACTTGTTGTGACTCACACCTTCATGGGATGCCTCAGATGGTGAAGACAGCACTTTTCAGAGGATAAAAGGTCTCACTGTGGAGGGCTGTAGCTGCACATCACACCCTTTGCCAGCTGACTGGGCATGGGTGGCAGGAGTGCTGCAGTTTGTGCCCATCCCCTCTGCCTTGGGGGTTTTTGTTTCTGACTACTTGTGCCTCTCATCTGTCTCTGGTATTGGAGAGCTGGGGAATATTATCACTTCAAAAATACAAATGTGGGTTTTAAACCTCTAATTTGACATCAGGCCAAGCCTGTACTTTCCCAGCTTTCAGCTTGAGCCAAGAATAAGATGACATTTAAGGCACGTCAGACCTTGCCAGGTCCCCAAGTTCTCAGGATGATTCTCCAGGTTGAGATACACCAGGAGAGCACTTGCACCTTGTGTGTGCTCTGCCTGCCCTCTTCTCCTGTGCACCCTTGAGAGCCCCATGGGAAGCAGCCACAGCCTCTCTGGGCAGCTGCTCCAGGCTCGGCCACCCTCACAGGAAAGACTTTTTTCCTTTGTTCAGACAGAGCCTCTGGGGCTGCAGTTTGTGCCCATGGCCCTTGTCCTGTCACTGACAAGGGTTTGGCCCCATCCTCTTGACTCCTGCAGGCCCTCTTGATATTGATGAGCACTGATCAGATCCCCTCTGAGGCTTTTCTTCTCCAGCTCAGCAGCCCCAGGGCTCTCAGCCTGTCCTGGCACAGAGATGCTCCAGCCCC